AGGGAAGGGAAGGGCCGGGGAGGCCGCGCTCCAGTCGAGGGATGGGCCGTGCGGCCGGATATTCCCAGGGCTGCGGACCGTGGCCCTCGGGGACTGACAGCCGCGCAGGTTCGGTGGCGGGAGGGAAGCTGCAGCCTTCTCGCTGGCCACAGCGCCCAGCGCGGATCTGGATGAATGGACGGTTAATCAGGTATTTATCGACGGCTTGCAATGAGCACCGCTCAGCTGGCCGGGAATTAGTGACAATCGGAAAAAAGACCCAGCCCTCAGGGAAATGCGTTCCAGTAGGGGGAGTGGTGGATGGGTGCACTTTTCCTTTCTAATATTTGGGGCCCTTGTGCCATTAGAAATTCGTCTTACCCAAATCTCCCTTTGATGCTCCCTTTGATTAGAAAGATACAAAAGAGGGTCGGCGGAAGACATTCCTCATTGAAAGCTTCTATTTAATTCTACATTTTAAAAGCACTCCGAAAGGAGAAAAGTTATTTTAATAATTTATATTGTCAAATATTAGATTTATTTTTACCAGTATAAAAGAGGCAATCACATTCTAGAGGCACAAAAATACAAAATGAACAAAGACCTATTTCCTAGTTCCTCTTCTATTAGGTCAACAGTTATTTCACTTTTTTTTTTTTTTTTTAAGATTTATTTTTGGTAGACAATTTATGTAAAATAGTGGAGTGTGTGATAGCGATTGGGATTAAGTTCTTAGGTACACTTTACATCTTAAATTTCTTGACTTCAGTATTTTGCATACAGTCTAGGTCATTAATTCCTTTAGCTGGCTAGGAAACTGGAAAGCAGAGCCTTTAATGTACTAAACTTCATTGAACTTTCAAGATTGACCTCTCTTAAGGTTGCTTCTTAGTCTTGTGGGGAATAGAAAGATGAAGAACTCTGGATCATCTCAATTTCCATTTGTGAAAAAGCGTTCAGAATTTCAAACTGCAGCCACCCCTATTAGGCTGAAGCCTACTGGATTCCTTATTGGTCAAAATTGGAATGTCAGCATTTCAGATAGTTCAACTTAATAACTCCCGGTTCCCTCATCTTTGCCATTGCCATTTGTAGATTGTGGCTAATGTATGGGAATTTCTTGCAAAAGGTGGGATGCCAACCTCTTAACATTTAGTGCTTAGTCCAAAAGTCGTGGGAGATAGTTTCAGGTATTATAACCTCCATATTTATAAACAAGAAATCCGAGGTAAAGGGGATGGGTTATACAGTGCCAGCCCTAAAACCTATGTAAACATGATTGAATAACTGGACATAGGATTCTTAGATGCATAGTTTGAAACCCCATGGAAGAAGTATTGTATGCCTATTTAAGACATTACTGATGAGCCAACTCATATAAATCCTAGTTTCTGAACCATCTTCACCTCCAAATAAATCTCTTTCTAACCTCTCTCACCCAATCACTCATGAATTTTCCTACCTCTGGATCTCTCCCATCGATGGCCATCCTCACCATTCTGTACCTAGCCCACACCAATTACCCATACATCTCATTGCCTCCGTGTCTTCTCCAACACATTAGAAGCATCTTGAGTGCCTATGACGTTTCACACTGCTAATCATTGGAGACAGGAAGATAAGACACCCTGTGTGTGGTGGTTTTGAAATATTTGTGCGTCACCTTCCTTGAAAGCAGATCCCTGAGCTGCAGTCAAGTCCTTAGGTGACTACAGCCCCAGCTGACCTCTTGGCCTGCAACCTCAGGAAGGATCCTGAGACAGAACTGCTGGTAAGCCACCCCTTAGTTTCTAACATCAACTAAGATAATAAAGCCATTTAATGGGGTTGTCCATTTGTTATTCAACAAGAGTTAACCTAGCTGACCCTAACAGTCTTTAAGAAGAAATGGGAGGCAATGTTATAATTCAGTATGATGAATATAATTCAGTATCACTCTAAAAACAACTTGAAATATACACACTATGAGTACAAAAGAAAAGTTAATTCCATTTGGCTGGTATAGGGAAGAAGACATTTTAACTAGAACTTTAGTTGTAGAACTGTACTGACAGAATGTAGAAGAGGGAAGTGAATTTTAGAATTCAGAGATGGGTTTTAAATGATAGGACAAATCTATCAATGTATATTTGTACAGATAATGTATATTTTAAATATCTTAGAATTTTGTCAATTATACTTCAATAAAGCTGGGGAAAGTTTAAGGAACTACAACTTTATTCTGCAAACTATGGGAAATAATGGAAATTTTTTAAGCATGACCAAGTCTGTCTTTAGAGAGAACTATCAGGAACAGAAAAGATCATTTTAATTTAAACAGAGTGGGGTCAGGAAAACTACTTGGGGAACTTTTAACAGCTCACTGAGGAAATGAACACTTCTCAAAGGATATAGTGTGATGTATATAAAAAGGAGATGAATTATTGCAGAAACATTTCAAGGGTAATTAATTAGATTTGGTGACCACTGTACAGATATACAGGAGTTGAAAAAGTCAAACTCTACAATGACAAATGATGGTGGGAACATTAAAATAGATACGGAACAGAGAATGGGTAGGCATAAGAGAAGATGGCCTCAACTTTGCTCTCGCTGGACTTACGGAAGCACAAGACATCCAAATCAATACTCAGATTAGTTGGAATCTGCTGGGTTGGGTTGAGGGAAGGAAAAACCAGAATTAAAGGTGTTTGGGGTTCATCTGTAGTGGGCCTGTTAAAACCATAGGTTAAATAAGTATTCCCTGGAGAGGGGGTGCTTTATTGAGCAAAAGTCTGGGTGTCAGACTCCTGGGCAATCCAGCTCCTGAGAAGGGAGGAGAAAAGGATAGGGTGGGCTGGAGGAAGCCACAGCATAAGCATTTCACACGTGCAGGTTGCATCAGGGAGGGTGGGAATCACGCACACATGATAGCCTTTGACAGCCCACACTGAACACATGAGTGGGCATAACAGTGGGTAGAAGATGAGAAAAAAAGACTATTTTAAGAAGTTTGGTGAGAAATGGGAGATGGGTGGTGTTTGGGGGTACAAAGAGGATCTCAAGAAGGATTTTTTTTTTTTTTTAAGATCGGAGTGTGTTTGGCAATGGAAGAAACATGCAAGAAAGAGAAGGAACTACTGAAAATACTAGAAATGTGGAAGATCACTGATGAATCCAGGGAGGATACTAAAGGTCAGCTTTAACAGCAAGAGGAAGAAGAAAAACTGAGCTGGGTCAAGGACCTCAAAATGGACAGTATGTAGTTATGTCTAGAGGTAGAAGAAATAGCCTCTCAGGTTTATATTTACACTTTATAGCCTCCCTGTGAGCAAGGCAAGACAGTTATTATCAATCTCTCCTTATAACTGTCCTGAGACGCAAGCATGACGGAGGCCACATAATTACTGGGTAGCTGGACCAGGACTTAGACCAGGGCAGCAGAGTCCCTTACAGGGCCACACTGAGCCTTTTGGCCTCTAGCCTTTCAGCGAGAGCATGGCACTAGCCAAGAGGGCACCATCTGCTCTTCTCTACACGTCAGCTGTGGCTGCTGATAATTCGGCTACACCAGCTCTTAACTAAAATTGAGTATTCTTTCCCAAACAGACCTTGTAGTTTCCGATCTCTGTGTTCCCCATCCCTTTGCCTAAAAGCTAACTGTCCAAGTGAAAGACCATAAACTTCCTTCACCAAGCTGTCCACGGGGCACTAGGCTGGAGGTCTGCACACAGCACTGATATACATTCTCAGGTAGCTGCAGGTTCTCCTGCAATTATCACCTTTTTCTATGAGTTTTACCCCATTTGGGATGGTATGAACTTGGAGGAAAGGAATTCTGCCATTCGCTGTCCTCATCCAATAGCACCAAGCCCCAAGCACAAGTGTGTTTGAAAGTGTTAGTTAATGAGATGCTGTTGCTGTGTCCAGTATAAATGTGGTCATGAACCCCAACAAATGAAAAATGTCTTTTCCCAAATAACAATTTCTGAATATATTCATTCCAAGGTGTAAGTGATTCACTGAAGACTAGCCCTCACTAGCATCCCACTTCACCATGTTGTGTTTGCTTTTGTCTCAGACTTGCCCTTCATGGTTACATAGAAGCTACAAGAGCTCCTGGTCATTTCCTTTATAAAACAAGGCTCAACATTGACAAAGAAGGAGAAGGGGCATTTTGAAGAGTAAAACATTTGCAGAAACCCCAGGCTTCCTTTATGCCTTATTGTCAGAATTGCCTCCTTTATGCCTTATTGAGAGAATTGCCTCATGTGCCCATTCCTAAACCAGCCATTGACAAGCTGAGTGGAACTGACCTCACTAAACTGACTTCATGAGGAAGGCATCTTTGCCGGAACTCGGGTGATGTTGAGTTTCCTTTGAAGATTCTGGCTACCCCTACCTGTACAAAATTAAAATTCCAGTGGCAAGAAAAAAGAGAAGAATTGCTGCAGAGCAGGCACCCAGTATCTGCACAGTGATTTTTTTCCAGAGCCTTTTCACTCATATTTTTGCACACAACAAGCCTTGCTTTCTGGCTTCTGTATGCTAGGCACATGGACCTTGTTAGAATGTCTGGTTGAAGGACTTCCAACTTGACAAAGTGGGTTGTTTGTCTTCTGACAGTCCAGTGTATTATCTCAGCCTCAACAGCACCATTCACTAAAGGCAGAGACTACAGTGCCAAATCTTGCCTCCAATATCACAGCAGATTAGAGGAATCTTTGGTGTGGCGGGCAGGATGGTGGGATCAGTCGGCACAAAGGGGATGTGTGGTCTGTAAAGAATTTTAAAACAGTGATAAACCTCTAAATGCAGTCTGGAATCCTGGATTGAGCCCTGGAACAGAAAAATAACAGTAGAAACACTGCTGAAATCAAAATAAAGGCTAATTTAACTCATTGTACCAATGTTAACTTCCATGTTTTGATAAATGTTCTATGATTATAGAAGCTGGAGAGGTTTATAAGGACTCTATACTATTTTTACAATTTTCCTATAAATCTAAAGTTATTTCAAAGTAAAATAAAAAAATGACTCTCAATAAGAAATTATCACCATGACAATTCTAAACAATGTCAGTGGTAAATATACATGCCTCCCTCTTCAAATCTTTTGGGTTTTTTTTAATTGTATTTTTTATTGTGGTAATATTGGTTTACAACATTGTATATGATTTAGGGATATATCTTTTTAGATGTATGTTACTACACAACACACACCACCAAGGCATCCATAATGTTCTACTATGGCCCACTGAGTTTTCCTATTCCCTCCAGTAGATTCAACTCTACACTAAGTTTTCTAAGGTTTGTATTTATTTAGTTTTGTCTATCCAATGTTATTTTTTCTTTATAGTCCACATATGAGTGAAATTGAGTATTTCTGTTTCTCCCTCTGATTTATTTGCTTGGATAAATCCCATGTAGTTCCAACAATGTTGTTGCAAATAGCGAGTTCATCTTTTTTATAGCTGAGTAGTATTCCATTGGCATAGACATAGATACCACATATTCTTCAGCCACTCATCTGTCATAGGGCACTTGGATATTTTTTCTCATAACTTGGTTTTTTAAATATAACCACAGTGAATCTATGAGTGAATATATCCCTTCAAGTTAGTTTTTGCTTTCTCTGGGTAAAGCCATATATATGGAATTGCTGGGTCATATGGTAGATTTTTTAAAAATATCTTGAGAAACCCATTTTGTTTTCCATAGAGGCTGGACTAATATGTGAAGGTTCCTATTTCCCAGCAACCCCATTCATATATGTTTCTTGTCTTTTTGATATAAGCCATTCTCACAGGAATGAGGTTGTGTCTCATTGTGGTTTTGATGGTGAACATTTTTTCATGTGCCTATTGGCCACTTGTGTATCTTGATTGAAAAAGTGTCTATTTAGCTTTTCTGCCCATTTTTTAAAATTGGGCTACTTATTTTCTTATTGATTTGTATGGGTTCACTATAGATCTTAGATATATGATGTACAAATATATTCTCCCATTCTGTAAAGTATTTTCACTTCCACTTTTGGTGGAAATATTTTAGTTTGATACAGCCCCATTTGTTTGGTTTTGTTTCTTTTGCCATTGTAATCATATACAGTACATGGAAGCAGCCTATATGACCATTGACAGATGACCAGATCAACAAGATATGGTAGGCCCCTTCCTGGTGGAGCAGCAGGTTAGAGCACAGCACTGTGAAGCTATCCGCAGCCACTGCAGCACAAGTTCGATCCCTGGGAGGTGACCCATATGGTGTGGCAGACCTCTTTTGACCCGCCCACTGCTCCCCTCAGGAGTGTGTTTCAGTAAATCGGCCTATTCTGCTCCCTGCTCTGTCTTTGGTGAATCATCTCACCACCCCTGAACCTCTGACCTATACCCCAGTTCTGTATGTATAAAGAAATAAATCTTAAAGGAAAAAAAAGATGTGGTATATCCACACAATGGAGTATTATATAGATGTAAGGAAGGATGAAATGTAGCCATCTTCAAGGAAATAAAAGGAATTTGAGAAATAATGTGTAGCAAAGTAGCCAGGATGATAAAAACAAATACTGGACATTTACATAGCAGACAGTATGATAAAGTCATACACTTAAAACAAAAACCAGTGAATGTCAATGAACACCCTAAGGGCTCTGAAGCTAAGAGAGATTGGAGGATAAAGGAGTGGTGGGAAGGGACAAGGACATAAAAGAGATAGTGGTAGGGGGAAATTTTTAAATAATAAAAATTAGAAAGATTAACTGAAAGTAAGGTAATCAAATCAAGTATTAAAAAGCTTAATACATATGCCCCATAATGAATATATATTAAGACTATTTTCCATCTAAAAAAAATTGACTTCAGGGCCCTCCCTGGTGGCGTAGCAGGTTAAAGCACAGCACTAAGAAGCTAAAGTCACTTCAGCACGAGTTCGATCCCGCCCCAGAGGTGACCCACATGGCGCGGCAGACCTCTCCTGATCCGCCTGCTACTCCCCTCAGCAGTGTACTTCGTCGATCTGCCTGTTCTGCTCCCCACTCTGTCTCTGGTGAATCCTCTCACTGCCCCTGCACCTCTGGCCTATAACCCAGTTCTGTATGCATAAATAAATAAATTTTTAAAAAATTGACTCCACTTTCCTCACTACAGAAAGGAAAGCCCAGAACCTCACTATACTTAATAAGCATTGGTGAGTTGGGTGAGTGTCTCTGTCTCCTGACCCAGTATCCCAACACTGCGCCTGTATCCCAGGCCTGCCTCCTTACCAGACAGTAACTCAGAAAAACCAAGTCAGTATCAGCTAGTGACTCAGTGGCAGAGTAAGGCGTGGGAATCAGGACTCCTGACAGCTCAGGGCTCTAACCATTGCCCCCATTTCCTCTTTCCAGCTCTCATTCATCTGGAAACAAATTAATTCCAGACAGCTAATAATGACGTTCAGATGGGAAGAAGGGGGCTTCTAAAAAAGATTCACACTCAAATTGACATTAGAAGAGAGTCATTTTCAGTCAGTAGCCCATAACCAGAAAATATTGGACTATAAAATTTGGGGAGCAAAAGAATCAATTCAGGGTTTTCTAATTTGGGGGGCCAACTTTTAAAGGAAAATATATTGGGAAAATAAACTGTCCACATATATGCTTACTCTTAGGTTTTCGACATTCAAGGAGAAATAAACTGCACTCTGATGCCATGACCAGCACTGCAGAGAAGTTCAATAGCAAGAACTCTGAAAAAGGTTTTCATAAACTGCTGTCCTTGACTTTCATGCCTACCTTCCCTGAGCAGCGCTCTCTACATTGTGGTGAACACACTGTCTTCTCTAAACTTAAGTGCCTCCTTATGAGCCGCTGTTACCACTGCTTGAGCCCTATCCCATTTCTTTCTTTTTTTTTTTAAATAGATTTTATTTATTTTATGCATACAGAACTGGGATGCAGGCCAGAGGTGCAGGAGCAGTGAGGGCATTCACTGGAGACAGATTGGGGAGCAGAACAAACAGACTGACTGAAGTATACTGCCGAGGGGGAGCAGCAGGCAGGTCAGGAGAGGCCTGCTGCGCCATGTGGGTCACCTCTGGGGCTAGGGATCGAACTGGCACTAAAAAGACTGTTGCTCTTCAGTGCTGTGCTTTAAATCACTGCACCACCAGGGAGGGTCTATATCCCATTTCTAAGTTCAGGAATCATTCACTTATCAAGTGTCAGGTGTGAACATTACAGGCAACTATTGGGATCTGTGTTGGCACAGCTCAGCTCTCTACCACAATAATTGGTTAAATGTGCCCTGCTTCTAAGTTAATAACTGACCTTTTACTGCATGTTGGAAGGACACCAGATGAATCATAAGAGGGCAGACTGATGACTAGAGTGGGTGAAAGAGTGAATGTGTGGGTGGGTGGTTAGGTGGATGGATGGATGGATGGATGGATGGATGGATGGATGGATGGATGGATGGATGGATGGATGGATGGATGGATATGTAGATAGATGAGTGGATAGATCAATGAATATGTAGATGAATGGGTAAATGGATGATCAGAAAGGCAGAAGGGTAGATGGATTGAAGGGTAGATGGATTGGTAGTCAATACACAGAAATCTGTACCCTTAAGTCTTTAAATTGGTGTTCAAGGTAATTATACCTTACTTCCTGGGGTCTCATCAAGATTTTACATCCACACAGAAGATATGCTCAAGATACATTCAAAACTATATTAAAGATAGGAAGAGCTTTACCTTGAGATAGACATAAAAGCCCTGAAAGGCAGGAGTCATAGCTCTCCTTGCTACACAGATGCTGGGTGAGTATTTGTTGAAAGAATGAGTAAGTGAGGGCCCTCCCTGTTGGCGCCACAGGTTAAAGTGCAGCACTGAGAAGCTGGCCACGCTGCTTCAGTAAGAGTTCGATCCCTGGAGGTGACCCACAGGGCACAACAGACCTCTCCTGTCTCACCCACTGCTCCCCTCAACAGGGTACTTTGTCAGTCGGCCTGTTCTGTTCCCACTCTGGTGAATCCTCTCACCACCCCTAAACTTCTGGCCTGTACCCCAGTTCTGTATGCATAAATAAGTAAATTAAAAAAAAAAAGTGAGTGAGTCAATGATTTAGGAACACAAGGAAGGCTTCTTCTGATGGTGAAATTCATCCAGTGAAACTCATCCCTTTATTCTGATTCTTTGTGCTTATATTCCAGCACTAAAAATTCATTTATACATCAGCTATGTATCTAAAAAGTATACACTTAAGGTGCAAAATATTCACAGATGTTAAATACATTAAGCCCTTTCCATCTGCTGTGTCTTTGGCAGTATTAATTGGTCACATTGCAGTCTTTCCCCATTCTTTGCTGGTGAGGTTGGGTATGGGCAGGTCCTGAGGCTTCTCTGACTGACTGAGAATGCTTGCTGACAAGCAGAAGACAGCCCTTTACAGAAAGCTGTGCCAAGACTATGAGGGGATCAGTTCCCTGTCCCGCCATCAGACATCCAGCCCCCCACCACACTATTCCCAGCAGCCCTTCCCCCCAAATTTTGGGAATTTCTCACTTCGTCCCACAGGTTTTGCAAGCTGGCAGGATGCTGAACTGAAGAGAGAAATGAAGTGAGACAGGAAAAGACAGCAAAAGGAAACAGAGATGAGGAAGACAGGGTAATAAAGGTAGAAGAGAGGGAAAAGAGAGGGTGGGATTGGAGACAGAGATTAGATTTGCAGGGCAGTATCTCTAGTAATAACATCATCATCGTCTTGCCTGAGCAGGTGTGTAAGGGCTCTGTCTACTCACTACACAACATGAAAATGGAGCACATTTCAATCAGCCTCATCAGAAATCTTGGCAGATGCTGTCAGACTGCACACTTTCTGAGATGTGATTTTTCAAGTAGAGT